TCAGGTCGATCTTATGCTTCCTGCTGTCTTCTACCAGCTGTTTGAGTAGCGGGTGAGGTGGGAGGGCCTGGTCGTGGCTAAAATACACCGAAGACACCCTTAGAGGACCTCGCTTCATTACTGAAATTGGGAAGCAAACAGAGGTTAAGGTTCTTGTTAACCTGTTGTATCGGCTTTTTAGAGCCTATACTCCGACGCCTCCAACCCAATAATCCTGCCCCCAAGAATTCAGGGTTCCTGGATGAGGGCCACATCATCTCCACTCTCGGCGAGGTGGAGTAGGAGGGCAGCAGACGCCGCTTTACTGTGATGGATGTTTATCTGCAAGATTGTCAGGGGCATTCTTACAATTCTCCACCACAGTAACTTCTGCCTCCGTCTCGGAGCTCAGCAGAGAGTCCTCCTCGATTCCGATTCCACTAAGTGCCCTTGCCAAGTCGCTCTCCTCCGAGGTGTACCCTTCCAAGATGTCCTCCTCTTCATCCGACATTCCTTCCGGGTGCCCCTCTTCGGTCGGCTCCTCCAAGTCTGGCCCTTACGCATCTGCCTCCAGCCCGATACCTCCTGGTTTGCTCTTCGGATCGGATTTGTGAATACGGACCGTCACATGTTCAAATCCGTACTTTTACCGGTGCTCAGACCTTTCCAGGGATTTTATGGTCTCCTCTTTGAGGGTGAGGACGACCTGCCTCCGCAGTCCCACCGCCTTCTCGACCTTGGCGACTCTCCAGACCGCTGTTAGAAGCGTCGGATTGCATCCTAAGCATATGTAGTTAAAATGGTCTTAGGGTCGGCTGGATTTTCTGTGAGCCACACTCGCGCCCTCGGTTTTCTTAGGATCTCCTCCCAGTCAACCGCCACCAGCTTAGCTCCAGGGTAGACCTCTCCAAGCGATGCCACCATTCGCTTGTAGGTCATCCTGCGACTTCGCATTCTGGTGGTGGTCCTGGGGGCTTCTCCCTCCGTGGACCTCTGCCTTTTCACGCTTTGCGCGAATTCCTTGGCAGGATCTGACCCAGCACGTTTTTTCTAATCTAGCCTCACACCCACCTTTTCCGGTTTAAAATCGGGCAGGATCTGCCTTGCCCACTCAATAATCTCGGCTTAGTCCGGGTTGGCTTTGGCCGATGGGTCCGCCCTCATTAAAATGAAGGCTGCTCTTCTCCTACCTATATAAGAGCACTTTCGCTGGGTCGAGTGAGACGCTCCCGGACCTTGCTGGTTGGTTTAGAGGTTGACCCTGGGGTCTTCCTCTCCACGCCGTTCGGTGGTCCCATAGCTAGCCACGCTTTGGAAGAAGAAGCCTTGGCAACCTGTAGGGGCTTCTCCATCTTAGGAAGTCCTTGGCTTTTGAGGGCCTTGGAGTTTGACGGGTCACTGACCCCATTTCCGGGCTTTTTTAGGAAGTTCCCTTCTCCGCTTAGGTTTTTAATATTCATGTTTTGGTCTCACGAGTAGGCGGGAAGGAGTTCGTCCATTATGACATAGCCCGCTTGTCACGATGGATAAAAATGGGAGGTCGGCCGGTCCCCCAGAGTTCGCATATTAGAGTCAGAGCTTCTCGATAGCTTCAAGATAGTGTCAAGTCGATAGCTTTAAAACTGAGAGACTAGTTCGCGTAGAAACAGACAGACATACAGACGGACAGACGGACATGCTCATGAGAACTCAGGAAGTGATCCTGATTTATAGGCCGTTTTCCCTTGACCACCGTCAATATTATAGTCCAAAAATCACGGAATATTCAAATTTGATTCTTACGTATTCCCCCATTGCAATGGAGATTATGTTTATTATTGTATCTGTCCTTAAAAAAAAAAATTGAATCGTGTTTTTTTTTTCAATATTTATTATCTTATTTCAATTTACTCACCATTTTAAGTTCTTGTTCTCAACTGCACAGCTACCAAAAAATACGCAAACAGACACATACAGCAACGTTGACCATTGCGAATGGGCGCAAAGAAAAATAAAAACTAACAATTTTTGCAATATAATTTTTTTTTAAATTCATAAACAGTGCCTTCTTAATATGTTACCATTACCAGCGACAGGAAACGTAATCCAAAATTGTGTTTTTCCATTTTCGTGTTTTTGCTCTTTCCGAAACATAACAAAAACAAATGCACAAATTCACTAATGCTTTTCTAAAAACTAAAAAAAAAAAATGTTTTTTCCAGGCGGACCGATGTTTGCATAACATAGAATAAGCGAAACGACCGCTCACCTAGTAAGCGTTGTGGTAAGTACTTACCACATGGCCAATAGCCACCTCGAGTAATGCAAAGGAGCTCCAATGAAAATAATGTTACTTTAATGAGTTCTTTTTATACCCTTGCAGAGGGTATTATAATTTTGCTCAAAAGTGTGCAACGCAGTGAAGGAGACATCTCCGACCCTATAAAGTATATATATTCTTGATCAGGATCACCTCCTGAGTTGATATGAGCATGTCCGTCTGTCCGTCTGTCCGTCTGTCTGTCCGTCTGTCTGTCCGTCTGTCTGTTTCTACGCGAACTAGTCTCTCAGTTTTGAAGCTATCGTCTTGAAACTTTGCACACACCCTATTTTTCTTTGCACGCAGTATATAAGTCGGAACGGCCCGGATCGGCCGACTATATCTTATAGCTGCCATATAACTGATTGATCGGAAATGGTATAACTTTAATGTTTTTAGAGTTAGAGAGTTCAAATTTGACACAAGAGCCATTTTTGGCAAAATAATACGACGTGCTAAATATTATAAGGATCGGTCGACTATATCCTATAGCTGCCATATAACTGAACGATCGGAAATGACCCAACTTTCGTGTTTTTTAAGATAGAAAGCTGGAATTTAATACAGATTCTATTTTTGGTCAGTTGATCCAACCTATCAAATTTCATAAGGATCGGCCGACTATATCCTATAGATGCCATATAACTGAACGATCGGAAATGACCCAACGTTCGTGTTTTTGAAGATAGAAAGCTGGAACTTGGTACAGATTCTATTCTATATTCCGGTTTTAACTGCAAGGGTATATCAACTTCGGCTCCGCCCGAAGTTAGCTTTCCTTTCTTGTTCCATACTGACTTTATTCAAAATAAAACTGTCTTAAGAAACTTACATTATTGTAAGTTAACCTTAATACTATTTAAAAGTACTTAGAAACGCATTGCACGCTGATATGTTACATGACCCTTTTGCAAAAAGTGTACCACTAATGAATGTTATGTTAGACTTCATGGGATCGGTTATAAACTGTATTCTTACTTACTTTGTTTTATGTGTCCAATTATCTAAAATCTAAAAAAATCACAAATTTAAAATGTGCGAAAAGTAAATCTAAAATCCACAATAAATAAAATAAATGTTTCAAGCAACTTTATTGGTTCAATAGCAATTACGCTTAATTAAAATAAATTTCGCACTTAAAATTGGTGTTGCGACACAAATAGAAACAACTTTGCAATACTCTTTCCTCGGGGCATTCCGTTGGTAAACACTGTCATACACAACTCGATTTCGATATCTTGGGGTCCCTCCAGGCTTTTTTTTAGCATAAGATTAGCTTGGTTGTTATTTTTTATTATTCTGTTAAATAAAAAAAATATTTAAAAAATAATTTTTGAACTGTTTGAGACCTGTTTTCTTATATTTATTTATTGCACCATTCTTAAACAAAGTGTAGGTCAAATGGCATAGATTCTATTAGAATTAGAACGACAAAATGGAAGCCGATAAAAAAAAAATGCTTGACCCAACCCAACAATAACATTACCAAGCTTTGGGATTTTTTAAGATAGAAGCTAAAAGTTTTTTTCGTATTTACAATTTTAGAATTAATTACAATGAAATTCTTAAACGGATTGGCCAACTATAACCAATTATTGCAATGTATATCCGATCTCAAATGCAAAGGTATATCAACTTCGTATTTGCCCGAAGCTAACTGGTTATTTGTGATGTTATTTCGCGATTTTTATACTCTTGCAGAGGGTATTATAATTTTGTCCAAAAGTGTGCAACGCAGTGAAGGAGACATCTCCGACCCTATAAAGTATATATATTTTTGATCAGGATCACCTCCTGAGTTGATATGAGCATGTCCGTCTGTCCGTCTGTCTGTCCGTCTGTCTGTCCGTCTGTCTGTCCGTCTGTCTGTCTGTCCGTTTCTACGCGAACTAGTCTCTCAGTTTTGAAGCTATCGTCTTGAAACTTTGCACACACCCTATTTTTCTTTGCACGCAGTATATAAGTCGGAACGGCCCGGATCGGCCGACTATATCTTATAGCTGCCATATAACTGATTGATCGGAAATGGTATAACTATGGTGTTTTTAAAGTTAGAGAGTTCAAATTTGACACAAGAGCCATTTTTGGCAAAATAATACGACGTGCCAAATATTATAAGGATCGGTCAACTATATCCTATAGCTGCCATATAACTGAACGATCGGAAATGACCCAACTTTCGTGTTTTTGAAGATAGAAAGCTGGAATTTAATACAGATTCTATTTTTGGTCAGTTGATCCAACCTATCAAATTTCATAAGGATCGGCCGACTATATCCTATAGCTGCCATATAACTGAACGATCGGAAATGACCCAACGTTCGTGTTTTTGAAGATAGAAAGCTGGAACTTGGTACAGATTCTATTCTATATTCCGGTTTTAACTGCAAGGGTATATCAACTTCGGCTCCGCCCGAAGTTAGCTTTCCTTTCTTGTTCCATACTGACTTTATTCAAAATAAAACTGTCTTAAGAAACTTACATTATTGTAAGTTAACCTTAATACTATTTAAAAGTACTTAGAAACGCATTGCACGCTGATATGTTACATGACCCTTTTGCAAAAAGTGTACCACTAATGCATGTTATGTTAGACTTCATGGGATCGGTTATAAACTGTATTCTTACTTACTTTGTTTTATGTGTCCAATTATCTAAAATCTAAAAAAATCACAAATTTAAAATGTGCGAAAAGTAAATCTAAAATCCACAATAAATAAAATAAATGTTTCAAGCAACTTTATTGGTTCAATAGCAATTACGCTTAATTAAAATAAATTTCGCACTTAAAATTGGTGTTGCGACACAAATAGAAACAACTTTGCAATACTCTTTCCTCGGGGCATTCCGTTGGTAAACACTGTCATACACAACTCGATTTCGATATCTTGGGGTCCCTCCAGGCTTTTTTTTAGCATAAGATTAGCTTGGTTGTTATTTTTTATTATTCTGTTAAATAAAAAAAATATTTAAAAAATAATTTTTGAACTGTTTGAGACCTGTTTTCTTATATTTATTTATTGCACCATTCTTAAACAAAGTGTAGGTCAAATGGCATAGATTCTATTAGAATTAGAACGACAAAATGGAAGCCGATAAAAAAAAAATGCTTGACCCAACCCAAAAATAACATTACCAAGCTTTGGGATTTTTTAAGATAGAAGCTAAAAGTTTTTTCGTATTTACAATTTTAGAATTAATTACAATGAAATTCTTAAACGGATTGGCCAACTATAACCAATTATTGCAATGTATATCCGATCTCAAATGCAAAGGTATATCAACTTCGTATTTGCCCGAAGCTAACTGGTTATTTGAGATGTTATTTCGCGATTTTTATACTCTTGCAGAGGGTATTATAATTTTGTCCAAAAGTGTGCAACGCAGTGAAGGAGACATCTCCGACCCTATAAAGTATATATATTTTTGATCAGGATCACCTCCTGAGTTGATATGAGCATGTCCGTCTGTCCGTCTGTCTGTCCGTCTGTCTGTCCGTCTGTCTGTCCGTCTGTCTGTCTGTCCGTTTCTACGCGAACTAGTCTCTCAGTTTTGAAGCTATCGTCTTGAAACTTTGCACACACCCTATTTTTCTTTGCACGCAGTATATAAGTCGGAACGGCCCGGATCGGCCGACTATATCTTATAGCTGCCATATAACTGATTGATCGGAAATGGTATAACTATGGTGTTTTTAAAGTTAGAGAGTTCAAATTTGACACAAGAGCCATTTTTGGCAAAATAATACGACGTGCCAAATATTATAAGGATCGGTCAACTATATCCTATAGCTGCCATATAACTGAACGATCGGAAATGACCCAACTTTCGTGTTTTTGAAGATAGAAAGCTGAAACTTAATACAGATTATATTTTTGGCCAGTTGATCAAACCTACCAAATTTCATAAGGATCGGCCGACTATATCCTATAGCTGCCATATAACTGAACGATCGGATATGACCCAACTTTTGTGTTTTTGAAGATAGAAGTTTGGGACATTTTTAGGTTTGGTTTTTGTATTATAATAAATTGGGTTATATTATCATATTCTCATAAGGATCGGCCAACTATATCCGATGTTTGCGATATATATCCGGTTTTAGCTGCAAGGGTATATAAACTTCTGCTCCGCCCGAAGTTAGCTTTCCTTTCTTGTTATTTAAAAAATTAAAATTATTTTGTCATTTTTATACCCCTGCAGAGGGTTGAGTATAGTATAAAACCGTGTTTGAAATTTTTCTAACACCCTCAAAATCTTGATTTATTTAGAAAAAACGGTTTTTCGGGACTTTTTTGCTCCTAAAAATTTCTAAGCGCGTAATTTTAAACCGATTTTAAAATTGTAGACGATTTTTGATAGTTAAATGTTGTAGCTTTTGAACAAAAAATAGGTCTCTAACTTATTTCAACAAAAAGGATAAAATTTTTATGCAAGAAACTGATATTTTTGAATTTTTGACGTGTTTTTCAGCCTTTGACGCCGGTTTAGAAAAATTTCAAACACGGTTTTATACTCGACCTAATGAACAATTCCTACTAGGTCTCTTCAAAAGTTCCTTCAATTTTTATTTTTTTGTCGCACTGTGTAATTTATGAGTAAATTTTTTTTACATTTGCATTTTGCTTATATTATTTTTATATTTTTTTTTTTATTTTATATAAAAGAACTTTTGTGAAAAATGTTAAAAATTTTGAAGACAGAGCACTTTTAATCGAAGTAACACATTGTAGTGCACGAAGGGAACTTGACGAAAATTATAAACAAATCAGTTGGTTGTTTTATTGGCCAAACTTTTTTACTTGCAAAGTTGTAAAATTTTCAATGAAAACTAATACAATATAACAGACACCAAATTAAAATTCCAATTGGAGAAGCTTCAATCCCAAATAAAAAGGATGAAAATTTACACATTGGTACACAACGCGTAAATTCCCACTTTCATAACATGTTTTGATGCTTACTCTAGTAGTAATAGAAGTCTAAATTAAATTAAATATCCAAAACAAGGAAATGAAAATTCTTCAACAATTTCCATAAGCCACAGTAATAATGCACGATAATGAACAGAGCTTTACCTCGGCCCAATTTAAATCTTTTGCACAAAGGTTCGGCTTAGCTTTACATTACGCAGACCCGAGGCACAGTACCTCAAACGGACAAATTGAAAGGACACATTCTACATTAACAGAATTAGCTCGATGCATTAACCCCCTCATGCCAAAATTAAAATGAGCGTGGCCAAAAATTTTTAATTTTAAATTTAAAGAAGAATTTAATTTAACCGGCTCTTCCGAAATAGTAGTAAGAGCCGCTCAAGAATTTAATAAGAGTATTCATTCTACAACGAACCAAAAACCGTTTGACGTACTATATAACAAACAACAGTGCCACTTCAAACTCTGAATAGACAAGTCTTGTTACGGCAATATTAAGGGGACCCCCCCCATTATCGATTTTAAATTGTGACGATTTTCAATGGGCTGGCAAATGAACATAAATTATTTTTTAGGGTTGTAACTGTGCTTACATATATTAAGACACAAAAAGGGAGAAAATCATTTCACAGAATTTTTTTTTTGTTTTGTTGTTGTTTTTTTGTGATCAAAGAAAAGCCCTTCTTTTCGGCGGCGCATGTGATTTCCGCTCACTGGAACATCTGAATCCAAAAATTCCAACGGGATTAGAAAAAGTACATGTTCGGCTCTGGTATGAACTACGGTTATTAACTTCGCTCAAAAATTAGCAAAATGGCGGACCTTTGAAATTTTTTTTTGAAAATTTCCATTTTTTTCAGCCACAAATCAAGTTGAAAAGTAAAGAAGATCTTCACCGATTTGATTTATCCTAGTTCATACGAGAGCTATATATGTATAGAATAATGTGTTAAAATTGTTAAAATTGTTAAAATTGTTAAAATTGTTAAAATTGTTAAAATTGTTAAAATTGTTAAAATTGTTAAAATTGTTAAAATTGTTAAAATTGTTAAAATTGTTAAAATTGTTAAAATTGTTAAAATTGTTAAAATTGTTAAAATTGTTAAAATTGTTAAAATTGTTAAAATTGTTAAAATTGTTAAAATTGTTAAAATTGTTAACGTGTTAAATTGTTAAAATAAAAACCGATTGGATTTTTTTTTAAACAGTGTAAAAACACTGTTTTGAGAAAAACGCGTTTAAAGTTTTGAGACGGCTCTCGCCGTCGCCTGAGGCTTTCACCATAAATCGGCTATATCTTCAAGAGTTTTTGAAATTTTTACTTAAAATTTTCAGGGAACATTCTTGAATAGTTATAAATTCGAATTAAATTAAAAAAAAAAATCGATTTTTTAAAACCGAGAATGGGGGGTGGGGGGTCCCCTTAAGCCGCGATCAGCGAAGCGTCTTTAAAACTAATCAGCAAAAACTTGAAAAAAAATATCCAGAACATAAAAAAACAAAAAACTAAACCAACAAAAAACACACAACCATGGATGAACCACCAAACTAGGCAAAAGACAACAACTCGCTCGAAAAAACATCAATATTCGTCATCAAAAAAAAAGTCGATTATGCATGCGATGGAGAAATCGAATCAATGAAAAAACTCAGGACGGATCAATTTTGAATAAATTGACTAAATTTTGACAAAATTGAAACTCTTAAAACTAACCAAAATTGCAGACATGGAAGTAACAGCCACCGAACCCCAGACATTGAACTTCTCAAAAGGTGAATTTATTGCAACAAGCGATACTATACATCGACGAAGCCACAATCCTGCAAGAACTAAAATCACAAAAAGTTACCGAAGTCAGGAAAATAATGAAAAAAAAAAAGAACACCAACCTTGCGGACAAAACATTGGTAGAAACGGGCCTAGTCATAATTTCATTCGAAACCACCAAGCTTCCAGATACAATAAGAATTGCTTACGATTATACGTGTATACCAATACCACTTTGATGCAAAAAATGCCTCCAATTCTTCTATGCATCGGACACCAGATTCGGACACCCAGCAACCATATGCAAAAGTACAGAATCATGTTCAAACTGTTCAAACGCGAAACACACAAACATCCAACAACAAAAATTAAACCCAACCAAAACAATACTGCAACATCAAAATTCACACACCACACCTGCACCCCGAGACAGCAACACCCCAAAGACAATCACGTTTCCAGAAGAAATGGACACAGACTACACTTTCCCCTCTACATCAAAGATTACACCTCAGGCATCAGAACTCACGGGAGACCTAAAAATAAGATATTTCCCAAAGATAAGTGAAACACCCTAGGCGCCAGCTTCAAACCCCCCAAACAAAATGCCAAAAATAGTAATAAAAACAAACAGACCACAGCGACAGCGAATCCTTTTACACCAACAAGACTAACGTAAAATCTAAATACTTAATCAGCTTCCTCTACTCTACCCTAAAGTCAAGCTCACTAAAAAATAAATATATATATGTATATATAATTAAATATTTTCTCCAAAATAGTTTGAAAAGATATATTTTTATTTGAGTTCCGATTTTGATACAGTCTGATTTTTTAAAACTGCTTAGAATTTCAGAACAACTGCTTAGGATGTTAGAATTTCAGAACTAACTTATCTTTGGGGCTCTAGGACCTTTTTATAGCTACCCTTGCAGATCAAAGCTCGAAAGAAGCTTTTCTCTCTGAGATGCTTTGTTTTCTGAAGAGAATAGATTGAGTCGGAACCTTTTACTTGAGGTGTCAGTTGACATGGAAGGCTTTGGGTCTCATTTAATCGAGGTGACAAGAAAATGTGAATTTCCTGTGATGTGGGCTCCCATTTAAGAATGGTTTGAGCTGTTTAGTTTTAATTCACTTAAAAGGAGTGAAAAAGATTTGAGTCGGAATTTCTTTTAACCCAAATATGGTTTTGCTTTTCAATCCGAAGTGAACCTTAGAAATTGGAAATCTGAAATGAGGCTGTT